GCATTTCACATTTTACGGAAAGGGTATTCCTTTAAGGAGAACACTTCTTGTTTGTGATTGGACAGAGCCAGCCAGAGGAGCACTGCTGTGATTGATTGTTTTTGCTGCCAGTTAAGAAATGACGCTTCGTGATTGGTCAGCACCCGGCCAACAGCACCACGTATTTCCTGTTTGGTACTGTTCAGCTGTTTCTTCACGAATTGTAAACTGAGTTGGAAAGAATGGAAGAAGAGATGGAACGAAGGATATACATACGATGTTATCCTCGACATGCTGTCAACCCATCACGACATCTACATGTCCCTTAGAACCAGGGGTGTAGTGCTTGTGACTACCCGCTTTGCATCTTTGCCCGATTTGCATTGTGCAAGCGCGAGATGGTCTGCCGTATTGGACAGCTACATACGGCAACCCAAATAGGACACTTGACACAGTGGCAAAGCAGAAAAAAGAAAACTAAAAAAACCTGACAACATTAATCTGAATGATATATATATATATATATATAATATATATATATATATATATATATATATATATATATATATATAGTTCCAAAGCTGGTAAAGACCATTCAAATTTAGCAATAATTGTCATATAAGAAAACTACTGATCTAATAACAGAGATGTGTTCTTGAATCAACTTTTTTATGGAAAATCTTTTTATGCATGTATTTAATTTGAAATAAAATGAAAGACATTCATAGTTAATGTAATTACATATAAATTATTAATGCCATACATTTTTGCATACATTCACAGTAAATATTTCTTCAGTATGATAACTGTCTAACAGAAGTTAAATCAATTTCTCACTTATTCTAAGAATGTAATTAACCCAATAAAAGTATTTGTTAAATAATAGTGAAGTCACGTTGTAATAACAATAACTCTCTCTCTCTCGTTCAGATTAATGTTGCCGGGTTTTTTGATTTTTTCTTCTGCTTTGCAAAACAAATGTCCCATTTGGGTTGCCGTATGTAGCTGTCCAATATGGCGGACCATCTCGCGCTTGCGCAATGCAAATCGGGCAGAGATGCAAATCGGGTAGTCACAGCTGTTAGCATCTGGTTAGCTAGCTATGCTAACGTACATAAGGAGTTGTTTCTACAACAAGGTGGAGGAGAGTCCTCTCCTGTCAGACTGAGAGGATCTTATAACTACAGCTCAGTGAGCTAAAGGACTGAGTGTTTAGATAGTTAACTTTAGTCTAAGCTATCTCAGTGGGTCTCAAACGGTTTGGTCACCATTTATGTAAACAAGTATTTCCAAAGCACACCTTTTTATATGATCATTATAGTTATAAAAATAAGAGAATAAATGAAAAACAGGTATGAAATAATTCCAACTATAGGACAGTAAAACTAAAATACAGTTTAAAAGGGGAGTGATTAGTAAGACAAGCATAAAGAAAAAGTTAATCTGTTTACAGTACTGTTTCACATGGGTGTTGTTGAGAGAGGTATCCATAGATTTAGTCCCTAACTTTGCTCTCAAAGTGCACCAGATTGAATTTAACTTAAACTTTTAAAAAATCATCTTCCCGGGGGAGCATGTCCCCGGACCCCCCTAGAGGAGGTGAGGTCCACCACCCACTAAAAAAAGGGTCACATGGATAGGATTCTAAATACATTTGCACACTTTTGATATAGTAACCTATGTCCATATGTTGCTGTTTTGTTAGTCATAGGTGCGCTCCTGCACTTATAGAAATAGCACTACACCCCTGCTTAGAACCCTGAAAGCGCAGTTTAAAGAGTTTGGACTGAGGAGACCTCACTTTATTTATTTTATTTTAACCTTTTATGTTTAAAGTGTGCTATATAAATCAAATGTATTATTATTATTATTATTATTATTATTATTATTATTATTATTATTATTATTATTATTATTATTATTATTATTATTATTATTATTATTATTATTACTGAGCTGTAGTTATAAGATCCTCTCAGTCTGAAAGGAGAGGACTCTCCTCCACCTTGATGTAGAAACAACTCCTTATGTACGTTAGCATAGCTAGCTAACCAGATGCTAACAACCGGAGCGGCGCTCCGGCAGCACTACACCCCTGGTTCTAAGGGACATGTAGATGTCGTGATGGGTTGACAGCATGTCGAGGATAACATCGTATGTATATCCTTCGTTCCATCTCTTCTTCCATTCTTTCCAACTCAGTTTACAATTCGTGAAGAAACAGCTGAACAGTACCAAACAGGAAATACGTGGTGCTGTTGGCCGGGTGCTGACCAATCACAAAGCGTAATTTCTTGACTGGCAGCAAAAACAACCAATCACAGCAACTTCTCTGGCTGGCTCTGTCCAATCACAAACAAGAAGTGTTCTCCTTAAAGGAATACCCTTTCCGTAAAATGTGAAATGTTTAAGTGTTTTCTGAAATGTTGTTTTGACTTGCACTTCAGGAACACCGTATGAGGGGGAAGACACAACAATACATTCTATTTATATAGCGCTTTTCTTTAACTCAAAACGCTTTGGAGGGTGGAGTGAGGTGAGGTAAATGGAGGAGGGACTTAGTGTTGATGTTTTTCTAATCCTTATTAATATGGATTTCTGGAAAACCTGAGGTCCAGGAGAAAACCCTATCTGATCCACTTTTGGGTTTTCTCCTGGAGCTCAGGTTCGCCCAATACAATTAGGATTTGATTTAAAAATAAAATACAAATTCAAATCTATCTTTGTACGCGTGTGCCTCACTGTGTAAACATATACAGTATACATTATTTACTGTATACATTTTGGTTACTAAAGTACTTCTTTTTATTCATTGTATGTTTAATCAACACTTTCATAAATAAAACAACCCATGGTATGAAATATAAAAGTGTTTTTATATTTGTCTCACTGTACACATTCAATTCCATTATATATGTATATATTTTTTTAATGTGTTCATAGAAGCTGGTCAAATATTCTGGGACTTCAATACTCCAAATGTTGAGGTGAAGAGCGGAACATGTAATTGTATTGACTGAAACATGGAGTCACTCACCTCAATAGAGTCAAATAAAAACTGAAAATGTATACATGCCTTATGTGATGTGCTTTTGATTCAACAACACAAACATTTAAAACCTCACTTAAATAGAAATGCGTAATTATTATCTGCAAAACTTTGGTAAAAAAATCATCGCTGTCAGGGTTTCACTAACAAATAGTTTATTTATCTTGAGAAGTAGGAAGATTTCTAAACCCATTAAAGGTAGGGTAGGTAAGTTTGAGAAACCGGCTCGAGATACACTTGTTGTTATATTCCATGGAATGCTCTTAACATCCCGATAGCAATGAATATCTGAAGTGCTTTGACAAAGAATCCATACAAGAATATCATCTGTGGAAGCCGTGGTACTGTAAAAAGCACAACCAATCATCTGAGCCGGCCCGGCTAAAATAACTGGATGGCCTACCTGCCTGTCAGCCTTCCATGTGTGCACAAACCTATCTCGTGCCCTCATTGGTCATGTGCGCGTTCGTGTGTGTTGGAGGAGGGGCTCTGTGAGGAAGTGGCAGATCTTTTCCGGTTGTGTATTTTCAAATTCTAGCGCACTCAAGCTGGTTTCTCCAAAATTACCTACCCCACCTTTAACAGACACAAGTTAAAGAAAACTCACATTTAAAATCACCTAATTATGGTATGGATAGGGTTTAGGGTTAGGGTTAGTACAAATTGTTCAGTATATCTAAAAGAATGCAATGTAATGTAAGAAAAACGTAACCGAGTAAAAAGTAAAATATTTACCTGAGAGATGAAGTGATTTAGAAAAGTATAGAGATGAATAAGATGGAAATACTTAAGTACTTTTATTTTATACTTAAGTTTATCACTTGGGGAACACTGGAAAATATGATATTATAATATTATGATTTATAGCCAAGGCTCTAGATTACAAAGCGTTTATAATACAGTACATTATTGTATGCCGTAACGGCTGTGGGATTACATATGGTGGGTTTAAAGGGGACATTAAGTCTCTGAGTTTCTATATTACGGCTACACAGTTTATCATAGACAATTATGACTATTTCTGATTTCCATAAACTCTTTGGGGGACATGCCATTCATGTTACATAGCTTGGACTTCATCATGATTGACACCAAACATAAAGACTTCGACACAATTCTGTTGTAATGTAGATGTTTTGAGGCATGGACCGGTGATTACATGTGAAATTTGGTAGCGATCGGACCGTGTCCATTGGTGTCACAGCAATATCGTGTTTCGGCACCTCAGATTTGGAGATGAGCTGTTCAGGGCCGAAGCATTAACCATCATGTGACGTTTGGGGCCGTTTGGAGCGTGTCAGCTGGCGTTAGGAGATAATCACCTTCCATGGAAAGGGATCACATAGCCATCAGGCGAGAGTCAAAATGGGCGCCACTAACTTTGCATCTGCCAGGTCTTGAGATGCTACTGTCAACATTTGAAGATGATTGGATAAAATCCCTAGGAGGAGTTTGTTGTTAAAGTACGGTGCACTTTTCTGTCCCCAGAGTCAGAACTAAACATGGAGAAGTTCAGTTATTATGCTCCAAGTATCTGGAACAAACTCCCAGAAACCTGCCGGTCCGCTGCAACTCTGTCTACTTTTAAATCCAGCCTGAAGACTTTTCTTTTTGACGCTGTTTTTAAATGAACTATTCATCTCTTACACTGCACTGTAACTTTTATTCATGTGTTTTATATCTGTGTTATTCTATATTAGCTTGTTTTGGTTTTTTGGAGAGCACTTTGAATTTCCTTGTGTTGAAAGGTGCTATATAAATAAACTTGCCTTGCTCGAAAAACACGCCACACAACATGTCACAGTCCACGCAAAATACAAATATTATGGGAAATCTAAAAAGTTACTTTAGTTAAAGTACTATGGTAAAAATGTATTTAAAATACATATTTATACATCAATTCACATCTAGTATAGACACTTTTTGAGTTTGCATCTTCATGGTTACATGCACTTATTGTTATTTACATGGGTAAAAGCATCAGCAAAGTGTAATGGGAAAATATTTACCATTCTGTGAGAGAGTCTGAAGGCATCTGCACGCCTGCATCGAGTTCTAAGCAACAACAAAAACACAATTTATAAAAATATTGCAGTAGCAGGAATATAGGCTTATAATATACTGTATATATGATAGTATATCATTTACAGATATACATAAGAATTGCAAATTGTAATCAGGAAGGAGAAACTCAACGTTAGGAGGAGGTGAGCGTCAGCAGGGACTTCAACAGGAAGTGACTCCCCATGCTCAGCAGCTTCGGGTGGAGCTCCCGAGCAGAAGAGATGTTGCAGAGGGCGGAGCAGCTGTAGAACTGGACCTCTGAGTCTGAGCCCTGCAGCAGCAGAACCAGAACCGGGAAACCCCCCGCCTCACCCAGCAGCCTCCTGGACCAATCTGGAGGAAGAGAGAGAGGACATAACACCAGAAAAACATGAAGATTCAAGATTCAAAGGTTGTATTGTCATATGCACATAAGCTACGAGAAATGGCAATGAAATTCTTCTGACCTGAGCTCCTCCAACAATGCAACATATATAATAAAATACAAAAATACAAATAGTGCAAGCAGCAGCAGCCTCTGCTTCTGTTAAAGATGTGAGTGTTTAGAGGAAGTGACCTACCTGAGTGTGTGAGGTGCAGCAGAGCCCAGGAGGCCACCTGCTGCCCTCCAGGGTCGTAGGATCTGGCTAAAGCCAGCAGAGGCTTCACTCTCTCCAACATGACAGCCTCTCGCTTCGACTCTGAGATACATGTTAAACTTTCAAAAGTCAAAGTGAACTTTATTGTCAATCTTTCAGTTTGTGTGTACAGACAGAGAGATCGAAATCCCGTTTCCCACAATCCCGAATACAAAAACAAATATATATAAAAATATGTAACAGCCAGACACCGAGAGAATAATTATTATTGAACAATTTAAAGACCTTAAATCCTTCTGCACCCACCTGAGGAGGCGAGGAGGCAGGCAGGAGTGGCTCTGAGCGCTGGAGTCTCCGGACCGGATCGGATCCAGGAGCGGAACCAGCATCCAACACCAGAGGCTCTGCACACTGACACCAGAGCTAATGCACGGTTATTATGACCCTATTCATCGGGTCAATTTAAGATGTGATGGTGGATAACAATTAGATTTTAGCAATATTAAAAACATGATTCCATTAGAGGGACATGTCTAAGGTGTTGACCAATAACAACAGAGCCAGCCAGCTAACCAATCAGAGCAGACATGTCACAGTAGAGACACTAAATACTGATATACACCTGAACATCAGCAGGAGAGGACTCTTTAAAGTAGAGACACTAAATACTGATATACACCTGAACATCAGCAGGAGAGGACTCTTTAAAGTAGAGACACTACATACTGATATACACCTGAACATCAGCAGGAGAGGACTCTTTAAAGTAGAGACACTACATACTGATATACACCTGAACATCAGCAGGAGAGGACTCTTTAAAGTAGAGACACTACATACTGATATACACCTGAACATCAGCAGGAGAGGACTCTTTAAAGTAGAGACACTACATACTGATATACACCTGAACATCAGCAGGAGAGGACTCTTTAAAGTAGAGACACTACATACTGATATACACCTGAACATCAGCAGGAGAGGACTCTTTAAAGTAGAGACACTAATTACTGATATACACCTGAACATCAGCAGGAGAGGACTCTTTAAAGTAGAGAGGACTCTTTAAAACACCTTGTGATTTCTTATCTCTCACCGTTGTTCTTCACTAACTAGACCCTCCAGAAAAACGCGATTATGCGATCGCATAATTTACCGCATAATCAGCAAAATGGCGCAGATTTTTAAAAGGGCGCATATTTATTAAAAGGTTGCATAATCCCCGCATTTTTCCACACAAAGTTGAGGGAAAAAAAAGTTAACGTGAAGTAGTGATGTCATCAGCTCGCGCAGGTAAACAACACCGTAGAGTGAATGTGTGGAACTCACACGAGAGAGAAAACAACAAGATCAGCGCCATATAGATTATTATATACTATTATTATTATATACTATTATACTATTATACGGCTCTGACCAAGATGAAAAAATCGAATCCATCTCATTTGCCTACGAACATTTCTGCTAAAGACCGGGCAAAGCAGTACCCTGATGTCTTGCACAAAAGTGGGGGGAAACTATTCTGCACCCCGTGCAACTATGTGTTGGAGCATAAGAGAAAACTTTGATTCATTCAAACATTCGAAAATGCTTTCTGCTGCTGCGGACAAGAAAGCCAAACAACTCGCGTTCACCGAGGCATCAACCTCCAAAACCCTTTCGAGGGCTACAAGAAACGAGGTGAGTAGCCTACAAGATTGAAGCTGGTCAGATAACGAACGAGTAAATGAAAACAGAATGAGGCGGAGAAGAGTGTGTGTGTGTGTGTGTGTGAGAGAGAGAGAGTGATTAAAATAGCCCATATATAAATACATAAATAACACTTTGTGATGTAGCTTGCTTCTAGTATGCTTGTTTATCATAGGAACTCTTTAAAAGGGCTCACTTTCATTCAGTAGTAGCCTAGTAACAGGGTGTGGGAGAAGAATCACCTTTTTTCCGCTTCCCGCATATTTCGCAACTTTTCGCATATTTAGCATATTTCCGCATATTTCGCAACTTCACCGCATAAAATCACATAAAAACCCTGCATGTTTAATCGCATAATCAAGGATTTTAGCCCGCGTTTTTCTGGAGGGTCTAACTAACAGATTGACTAAAGACAGAGAGATGGTCTTCTGAACATCCAGGTCAGATGAAAGCAGTAAGTTCATGACCGGCTCCAACAATGCGTCTGGCAGAGGAGACTTCACTGAAACACACAGAGCAGGAAACACTGGTTATTGTGGGTGAAGAAGCAGAGTTGTTGGGATACTAGTACTGTGAATAACGGCACTTCAGCCCACACATGCAGGGAATTATCTGCCAACCCTAGAAAGAAAATGACAGTTGATAATTTGCATAATAACCGTGCAGTCCGTTAGAGCTTATCTCTGCAGAGGAGAGCAAGCACACGTCTCATTACCTGCTCCACTTATCTGTAAACCATTGCTATAAAGAAGAAGATAGTGAAGCAACATAAAAATCTGTTTGGATTCTTTACTCACAGTGATGACTGAGCTGTAGATAAAACATGGCCGCTGTCTTCTGCAGCTCAATGTCCTCTGAAGCTGAGAGTCGGCTCAGAGTCTGAAGACTTTCCTCTTCATGGAGCTGAAGTTCCTCGTCTGTAGGAAGCAGAGGGGGGACAAGTACTCAGATCAGGTACTTGAGTAAAAGTAGAAGTACTCAGATCAGGTACTTGAGTAAAAGTAGAAGTACTCAGATTAGGTACTTGAGTAAAAGTAGAAGTACTCAGATCAGGTACTTGAGTAAAAGTAGAAGTACTCAGATCTTGTACTTGAGTAAAAGTAGAAGTACTCAGATCAGGTACTTGAGTAAAAGTAGAAGTATATACAAACACACACTGATTACTCATTCCTGGCCTAAAGTTAAACTCTCTTTTTTACCTAACACAGCTCCTCACTTTGACAGGATGTTGTTGATGTCTTACTTTGTTGGGAGTCGGGAGGCCTGATAATTTATTCCGGCAAATGACTCAGACCTACTAATTGACCTAACAGAAGTTATTGAGTCTATGTAAGTTTGGCTCAGATCCACCAAGGTCAGCAAGATCTCACCTCTATTAAAAACCTGTTAAGCCCTAGAGCCCCCTGTACAGGGGGCAGTGGGGTGTTTTTTCACGAAACTGTGTCTCAGGGCTTCTTAATATTTAAAAACCTATTAATGTGTCATACCCATTTAACGGGAAGAAACTCAGCTAACTGACAATACGAACCATTTTTACAGAAACAAAACACAAGTCTCACAAGAAGCGTCTAAATGAGCCCTGAGCGAAAAAATGCTAACACACTTACCACAGAACTCAAGGTAAAAATACCCTTATTACTTATCGTAACTGCAAAAACATTTTGCCTATACAACAGATTCTATAGGTATAAGTATCATCACTGAGCGACCAGAACTCGTGACAGGGGAAGCAAACACAGACGTCACAACACATGAATTACGGAACTTTCACGGGAAATCGTCTCGAATCAGCTGTTATTCTGATCAATAGTCGTGTTCAATGGCATTCAAATGATAAAAACGATGCTGAAGGTTAATCCATAGGTTAATCCATAGGTTAATCCATAGGTTAATCCATAGGTTAATCCATAGGTTAATCCAATGTGTCTGTGTCACTTTGAAATGATTACTGATAATCCATCATTGCATTTTTATGTAAAAAACTGAGATTTCATATTATTTTTATTTTTATAAATCTCTCTAAAAAGGTCAAATGTCACTTGTTTTGCATCAATCTTGATACAGGGTACTTATATGTTGTAGTTTGGATTCCTAAAGCTTTTAGTCTACTAACCCATCATTCAAGGGTGGTTTTCACTATAAGTAATGGGTTTTTTGTAGGTGGAGGTAAAAATTTACCTTTTTTTACAATGTTCCATCTGAATTTACTCTGACACAGAAACATCTATATTGATTCTGACACTTCTACATCCAACTCACAGATGTAACCTTGCTTTGAGAAGAAAGATTATTAATTTAACCCTTTTAGAAGTGAAGTTATAGTCATTTGTTCTGGGCATGTCATTTTCGAGCCTGAAACCTGAAAAACCAGGTTCAATTAACTGCTGTTTCAATTCAGACGACCCTCTAAATCTGTTTAAGCGATCCCGAAGGATTTTGGTATCAGTAAATGAGATGTGGCCCTACCTAAGTGTGAGTGTGGCAGTTGTGCAATCTTACCTTAAATCAGGAGAGGAGAGCGCAGATGTATTTTAAGTTATCCCAATCCAAAAGGTGGGATCAGTTTATTTGAAGAAAAATGGTCCACACGTTTACAGGGTTTTTACCTTCTCTCGTTACAACGTGACAATCCTACAAAACATATCATGCTGTGATCATTTTCTAATATGAAACCTCAATTCACCGTTTTACATTTATTACCCTAAATTGTAACTTCAACTGCCCAATTCAGTTGTGACATTTAAAATCGTCCGACAGAATTTAGAGGCATCTCCTAATAAATGGCCGGTGATAATAAAAAGCACATTCAAACTTTCATTCAACAAATCAATTCTTATACGCACCTATGTCCAGCATGAATTCAGAGGACCATCCTCATAGGTGGCTGGGTTATAATCATTCAACACAATTCACTCAGCATTCAACAAAGAAATTCGAGAGATATTTACCAAGTTTGAGAGAACCTTACAGAGGAAAAACCCAGCTCTCCAGGGAGAGAGCTTACCGAGGAGGGGGCTACCAGGGGAGAAACCCCCCCCCTCTCTCGAGTTTGCTCCCTCTCAGCCAGTGTTTTTATGCTCGAAACAGGACAGAAAAACCTAAAGACACCTCCATACCCATATTTGTGGAAACTGGGCATGGCCTCTAGTGTGCCGGACTGAAACATATTATTCTCGGTTTTTGGCATAAACACCTTTTTGGGGCCTCAGTTTTTCTCGAACAAGTTCCCCCCTCAAATTATATTTGATTATAATTAACTTTCGTTTTAAGTATTCAACCTAATATGGAGACCTCAACAGTCTGCACACAGTTCATTTAAAGCCAATGGGTCTTAATTGGGGCTTCTGAAATTATGATCATGTTTAAATTCCAGGTGGTGGAAAACATCCTTCTGTTTCATAGCTGGGATCAA